AGATAGTCCCCAGATTAAATACTGGTCCTTCATGAGTCCCATTGCAGGCTGTAGCCTCCATCACTTAGTTCCACACATACATATATACACACATTATATAGTTAACATTTTTTTTAAAGATGGTTGAGTGCAATCCTAACATTCTTTGTCCTTTTACATTATTCCCTAGCTTCTGATACCTTTTCCAGAGTCAGCAATAGAGACTATTTTGTGAAAGAGAAACAATTTAAACTCTTTTGCCTGAAAGGTACAAAGTAAGCAGCCTCTCAGTAAACCTCATAATTGATTTGATACATGCAGGATTACACACATAGAATGCTGCGTTCCCGGGTTCTACTTGTGATGCAGCCAGCCAGTCCCTTGGCATGGAGGAGAAGCGTCTATATAATGTGTAGTCTGACACCCCGATCATCGCTGAATACTGACTTGTAGCAGATGAAACTCACTCACAGCACTCTGGGACCTCTTTAGGAAGCAATTGTGAGTCCGTTTTTTGGAGATGATCTGTTGGTTGTTTATAGTCCAATTCTGATCATTCAGGTTGATTTACTCAAGGAGCATAGACTGTTCACCTAGCAAAGTGAATGTTTACCTGGTTCAGTGAATCAGTATTCACTTTGAAGGATCATACACAAGGCAATTAAAAAGACAGGATTATTGCTTGTACATGATTGGATGATTAAAGAAAGTACAGCTTCTCCCTATTTATTAAGCTTACTTCACTCTGCTAAATGAACAGTCTTAATTTGTTTAGTGAATCAGCCTCATAGACAAGACTGTAGTAGATTTTAATACCAAGTGTATTAGCTGGGCTGCTGTGTATCTGGAGGAGTCAGTTTAGCATCCTGTGTGTGTATATAGGGAAATGCTGATTACATTTTGCCGACGAATGAGATGGATTTCCATTGTAAGAGAGCTTCTCACTTCCATCCTGCTGTTTGACAGAAATGAAGAGCAAGCTCTATGGGAGCTCCACTACACATGACATTAACCCCTGGCTCATTCCACTGATATGTATTGCGAACCAGAATGTTGGTAGCAAGGGCTTAAATCGTATGCTCACAAGCGATTCAAATCTCATGTGTAATGAAGCCCTCAGTCACAATTTCTTCAGAATTCTGAATTGTCTCTTCCAGCTTGATTCGTCTATTTCATGTATTAGAAGACGTACAATATAAGGTGTGATCTGTGGATTCATGTACAGGGAACCTCATTTATAAATGTCTGTCATTCTTCAGCCAGGCTTTCATTCTCTTTGTTTAGCTAAATGAATATGTATGGAAAGTAAAATATAATTGTTAGGATCCAACTGCACACGGTATATAAATGATTCATTTTGACAATCATAATTGGGGTCATATGAATGTAACAATTTACATTTACTATTTCGGGTTATAGATGGAAATAATCAAGGATATGAGGTTTGTGTTTACCAATATGCCATAAAACGTGTGTGTATAATTATCTCCGAATATAATAAGTGGCACTGGGTCCCATTGACATTTATCACTGTCTGCAATACTGGCTGAAATAACCAAGAATGCTCCATGCAGGACCGTGTAACCCAGGCAGTCGGAGGAAAATCTGTAAATGTGCCATGTTACAATGACACA